TAAACCCCTGAACCCCTAAACTTCCCTAAACCCTAAACCCCTGAACCCCACCCCCCCAAAACAAAAAAACGGGGAGAAATCGACTTCAGGCTCCAAAGAGGGCGTGCCCCGTCCCCCCTACTTAAAGGGTCATGTAGGGTTTAGGGTTTAGGGTTTAGGGTTTAGGGTTTAGGGTTTAGGGTAGAGAAGAGCCCTCTCCGCAAAAACCTAGAAAAGGAGCTGCGTGCTAGATGCGTGCTCAACAAGAGGGATGTGGCGAGTCTCGGGCTTCCTATGCCACAGGGTGCAGGGTTTTACGGTATAGGGTTTAGGGTTTCAGGGGGTTTCAGGGTTTAGGGTTTAAGGTTTCGTGAAGTTGAGGGGTTGAAGGGTTGAAGGGTTTAGGGTTTCAGGGTTTAGGGTTTAGGGTGTAGGGTTCAGGGTTCTTTAATACTACTTAGAACTTAGAGTAGCGTTTTGGGCATATTATAGTCTACCTGTATTCACGAACCCTAAAGAATCGTGTTGGTAATTATTCAGTCTTCCCTCTGGCTCGGTTTAGGGTTTAGGGTTTAGGGCTTCGCCGCGATTCCTACTTAAAGGATCATGGGACTTAGTAACTAGGGTTGTAAATAAGGTAACTAGACTTATAATTACTTATAACCCCAATTAAGGTACTTATAACCTTACCCCTAAACCCTAAACCCTAAACCTTATACCCTATAACCTTACTTACTAAGCCCATGATCCTCCAAGTATCGATTCCTTGGCACAGCCGTCAGGTCTTCAGCTGGGAACAGTCCAGCGCTCAACCCAGAGACTCCAATATCCCTTAATTAAGGAATATACCTTAAAATTATAGTAGGATCCTTAATATGATTTAAATTATAGTAGGATCCTTAATATGATTTAAGGTATATTCCTTAATTCAGGGATATTGGAGTCTCTGGGAATGAGTTCCCCGGCTTCTGCGCCACGCGTTGAAAGAAGGCCCGATGGGCTACAGCGGCTGTCTGCACCCTACTTAAAGGATCATGGGACTAGTAACTAGGCTTATAAACGGTAACTATATTTATAATTATTTATAACCCCAATTAAGGTACCTATAACCCTACTTACTAAGTCCCATGATCCTCCAAGTAGTCTTCCCTCTTGCAAGGCCTCTGGCACAAGTTGAGTAGGTGCTTGTGCGGCTCGAAGTGCCGATGACTTCTGAGTAGGTTTGGAGGGTAAAACCATATCCTGCATGCCTTGCTCGCCTAAACTTTGCCGGGGGGGGGGACATACCTAAACCATAAACCCTCAACCCCTGCTAGTCGTCAAGGCTTCGGTATTTACGCTTTCTCGAGCCTGCAGGAGTTTGAGGGTAGTTATTGCTCTATGAAGGGTTTAGGGATTGGGTTTTGAGAAGCAGCCCAAGCCGTGCGCGGTGGAGACGTGAAGGCACTTTGTGCTGGCTTATCGGGCGCCTTGTGTTTCTCCGAGCCCGCGCAATGCCTCCCTGCCCAAGTCTAGGGTGTCTCTTCTGCCTACGGTCCTTCCATCCCTAGATTGCATTGAAGCTGTAATGCCGAGCATGCAGAGCCTTGACAATTCGTTCATGTGCGGAACATATCCCGCGACCTTTCAGGATTTGAGGCTGAGGATCTATAGGGTTTACGCATTAAGGGCCCTAAACCCTAAACCCAAAACCCTAAGGTGTCAGGGCTACAGAACTTGGGGTTCGACCTGAAGTTGTGCAAAATGTTCGACCTGAAGTTGTGCAAAATGCTGCAGAATGGGGCCTTCCCGCCTGGTTTGTGAGTGCATCTTAGGAATTGTAGGGATTTTTGAAACCATTCAAAACACAATCAGAGAATCTCAATGCTGAATGCAACATGCCTCCACACTCCAACCACACTAAACCTTCAACCCCAGCGCGAAGACAGAAGACTTCAACACAACTTCAACATCAAGTCCCACAAGAAAGAGCCATCCTCTCCCCACTCCGCCTACCCCCACACAAGAGCACAGAACACGGACACCCTTGATACAAACTGCGTGATTGAAGCCCTGAACCCGTTTCTTAGACCCCTATGATGCACTATGACTAAAGGAAACCTTTTCAAGGAAGCCTAAAGCCTTCAACAAACCCTAAACCCTAACTCCTAAACCCTACAAGCCGATACTTAAATTCGACGCACCCTTTGCCTCCAAAGGAAGCCTAACCCTACATCCTAAATCCCAGACCCTGCGGCCTGTCATCCTAAATCCTAAATCATCAATCCTAAATCCTAAGCCCTAAACCCTATAAATCCTAAATCCTAAACCCGACACCTTTCATCCCAAACCCTAAATCTTAACCCCTAAACCCTCTAAATCCTAAGTTTCAAACCCGACACCCTTAAAGGAACCCACCCAAAACCCTAAACCGCAAACCCTCGGCTCAGCCCAGCACTTGCCATTCCACTCGGCCCAGACCGGTGCACCCCCGCAGGGGAATTGCCCCACAAGGTAACCTGAGGTCTTAGGGTTTAGGGCAAGGTTTGAGTCAGTTAAGTAAGCTTCCTTAAAGGGCTAAAGGGCTCTACAGGGTTTAGGGGGTAGGGTTGAGGGTTTAGGGTCTACTTGGAGGATCAGGTGGCTTAGTAAGTAAGGTTACAAGTACAATAATTGGGGTGATAAGTAATTATAGAAGTATAGGTACCTTCCTTATGACCCTCGTTACTAAGTCCCATGATCCTTCAAGAAGGGACTACCTGGACCCTAAAGAACCCTCCCTTTTTCGGGCTCCTTATGATGACTTGCTTGTGCAAGTCCGCTGTGTGTGGCTGCAGGGCTTGAGTCGCTTAAGGTGAGTGGTCAACATGTCATCGGAAGTCTTAGGGTTTAGGGCTTAGGGCTTTGGGTTTTGAGCTTGGATCCGGTGTAGAAGCTTTTCGAGCTTTCAGAGCTCAGAGCCTTTCACCCTGTAAACCTGAATGATCCTGGTTTGGTGTTTAGGGTTTAGGGTTTAGGTTTTAGGGTTTAGGACCAAAAAAACAAGCTCGAATCCCAGATAACCCACAACAGGGACTGGTCAGGCTTGGGGTGTTCTGCAAGAGCCTATAGGGCGCATTGTAATACATAACCACGGCCATGCCAAGGACCCATCAACCTCTGAGGTTTAGGGTTTTAGGGTTTTAGGGTTTAGGGGTTTTAGGGTTTTTGGGCTTTAGGGTTTTAGGGTTTTAGGGTTTTGGTTTGTCTTGAGGTCAGCACCATAGACTCTGAGCCACACGGCCGAACTCCCACACCCCCAAACTCTGAACCTTAAGCCATGAATCGAAAAGCCGTGGCAACCGAACGCCCCCACACCCTAGACTACGCCCAGAGATGCTAAACCCTTGAGCCACTAAGAAACACAATCCCTAAACCCCAAACCCCAAAACCCCAGCCCCAACCTCAAACCCTAAACCCTAAACCCTAAACCCTTATGAAAAGCACCCAAAAAGGGACCCCTATGTACACATCCTGTGAGGCCGACCTGCTGTATATACTTTCTTTCGATGAGCTTGGAGTCCAGGGGACGCGCTCCTTGCAAAATAAATTCAGGGTGAAACGGGCAGACCTTAGTCTCGTGGCGACTCGAAGCCAAGGCCCGAACGCCTAAAGCCCAGGTCGCAAATCCAGTTAACGACCGGCTGTAGGCAGAACAGAGCACGCGGCGGGGCAGACAGGGCGACTGGCGCTTGCACCGAGGCGGCAAGGAAGTGGCTCACAGTGTCAACGGCGGCCCCGAGCCAGAGGAGATGACGTTTCGCTGCGGCCAACGGAACACTCGTTTGGAAGGGGTAGACAAACTGCGGCAAGGGCGGCTCCTCAAGACGGAATGTCGCCAGCACACCGTCCTCTTGGAAGTCAACCACACGCACACTGATAGGGAGCAAGTCGCGGCAAGCGGCCGGAGCACCACAGCCACGACGGGCCGAACGGAAATCGTCACACCACAACTCCGGGTCAAGCATGAGTTCCGTATCGGCCGCAACCTCCCTAACCTGATCGGTGGAGCATGGGTGCCGCGCCCAGGCTTGAAGAGTACTCTTCAAGATCGCCAGGGGCTCAACATATTCAAGTACGATCTCCCAGACATCCTCAGGGCAGGGACTCGCAAGATCAAGCAGTTGAGCCAGCAAGCCTGGGTGCACTTGGACAGGGTCGTAGGATTCTTCTGTGCGAGCGGAAGAACCAGAAACCTGCAGCGGCGGCCTCTGTGAGTGCGGGATGGCCGGGATTACCCCGTCCGCCACAAAAGCACCCCAACGGATCCGGCAATCCCCAGCATGCAAAAGGTGCCGGCGCAGTCTGTGTGCGTTCGCAAAAAGCTTGCCGCACCCCGCGCAGAGGGGCTGCTCCTGTTCCTTCGCAAGCAGAGTGGCTGGCGCGCGATAGCCATGGCATTTGGCCGCGTGAACGGCCCACGTGGCTCGGGTGGGGAAGGCCACCTTGCAGACCAAGCATGCCTCGGTATAGGCAGCGGGGCGATCCTCGCCAGTGCGGTCCGGACCTTCTTGAACCCCGGCCCTGGCAAGAAGTGCCCTCCGCAGCGCTTGGAGGCTAGCGAAGGCGGTGACGCGCGCGCACTCAAGAGCGCGAGCCCTCTTCACAATGCCTTTGAAGCGACCCGGCCGCCGCATGATCATGTCCTGCCAATCATCCCAGCTGACATCTGGCTTGCCAAGCTCGGTGGTGTTAGCAACCCAGGAGTGCAGCCAACAAAAGGCGTCTTGCATGCAGCTCATGAACTTGGCGTTGGGCCTGAGCAAGGCCCAGAGAATGTCCGGCCCATTGGCAATGAGCTGTCTGGCATAGCGCAAGCGTTCAACACGCAGCAGGGTGAGGGGGTCTGGCTGCTGCACCAATGCACAGATTGTGGCAAGGCTAACATCTTGGGCTTCGTCATGAGGCAGGCATAGGCACTGGCGGTACATCGAGGTGACCGCACGCGCGAAGACCTGGTATTCCCCAGCACGCAGAGGCCCCCAGGCACCTGCCCCGAAGAGCAATTTGGAGAGTACATGCGCATTCAACAAGATGCCTTTTTTGGCGACCGTCAACCTCCTAGACCTATAGACCTTCGTTCGTCCTTGCCTGAAAGCCGTCCATGCGAGGGCAATCCGTTGCTTGAGCTCGGGCATCAACGAACTATCAGCCGCGACCCTGACCCCTAAGTGCTTATAGCTTCTGACGAGGGGCAGCATAGCGGGCTCGTCTTCCTCACTGAGGACAGGGATCCGCGCCTTCCCGGAAAAAAGCTTGCATCGGGCTGCCCGAGCGCCTTTACCTCGAAGCTGCACGACGGCGGCCGTTTTGGCCTCTCCGAAAGACAGCTGGTATCCGTGGCTGCCGAAGGCGTCACGCAGGGCAGATGCCTCGAAGCCGATGACCTTTGCTGCGTTGCCGGGCTGCGGTATCCCCAAATACACAGCCAAGTCATCGGCCCAGATGACCTCATCTAGATTTATGAGGCGCGTGCCCAGCCCAGAACGGCACGGCTCTGCAAAGAAGTCTCGGCGGCCGTCCCACAGGAGGCAGATAGGTTCACCGGTGCACAAAGCTCCAGCACGAAGAGCGTTTCTTGTGTCGACGATGCCGGGCACTGAGACCCCGAAATAAATATCCGCCCAGGATGATCCTGGGCGGGATCCACGCGTTGTTACAACCGGAGTATCATCATCCCTCAACGTCATCCAAGTCCTGCTGTTAAACTCATCAGTCAACCCCTCCAACCACGCCGTAGCCCCGCCCGCCTCCAGGGCGCTAGGGGCTTTTAGGCGTTCCCTCAAGGCCTGATTGGCGTCCGGCGGCGCTTCCCAACCGGCACGTCTGGCAGTCAAGGCACGCGTCGCACTGTAGTACGCGGCCGACACATCGGCAAAGAGAATGACCGACGAGAGCGCCTGGTTGGCGCGGAGCTGCAGGAAAGCTCGGCTCACATGCGAGCCGAACAAAACGGACGTGCGTTTCAGTCCTCCGAGTTGAACTGGGAGTGCATGACCTTGAAAGAAGTCATAGGCAGCAGGTCTGAACGCGCGGTGCATCGCTTTGGCAATCGTGGAGAGAAGCATGATCGCTCGGTAAGAGCCGCAGTCACTGGCACTGCCCCGACCCTTATACAACCAAGTCAGGGTTCCCGACTTCAGCCCTAAGGGTTCTTGCACACACAACCCTATCTTCAGCATAAGCGGCAGCAGCGCCCGCTGCCAAGCGACCGGGTCCGCCCTGCCGACCTCTGCTGGTAGACCATCCGGGCCACAAGCTCGCCCAGTCTTAGCCTTTAGGACTGCATCAAGGAGGTCCGATGGTGCCGGAAACTCGGCGCAAGAGATGCTACAGTCTTCAGGTAGCGCGGTGGGAAGCAGGCCAGCGACCTCCTCCAGCGACATGCATTTGCCCGCCTCAAGTGCGCTGAAGTGTTGGCGCCAGCGGGCGATCGCCGCAGCAGGATCCTGGCAAACCTGCCCATGAATGTCCTTGACCTGCGGGAGCACCGTGGGCCCACAGCTGCGCTTTTTGCGGGAGCCCAGAAGCTTCTTGAGAGACTCGTGCGCCTCGTCCTTGCCTGCCTGCACATCGTCAGCCAAGGAGGCCAAAAAGCTGGCCCGGTCCGCTTTGCATTGGGCCCGCAAGCCCTTGGCTGCATGCTGCAGCCTGGCCCCTAGACCTGCCTCCACAACAGCTGCGGTCTGCATCCAGCCAGAGCGGAGCTGCACGTTGAGAGGCGGCGAGTCCCAGCACCTCCAGGTTTGAAAGGCAGCTGCTACACTGTGGAACCTGATGGCACAGCGCAGCCTTGCAAGGCTACGACGCAGCTTGGCAACCCCCCCTTGCAAGGCCCAGGCAGCATCGCTGAGGTACGCTTGCCGCTTGCGCCTCTCTTCAGATGGAAAGGCCTGTTGCAGTCTCTCTTGCAGCGTAGAAGCAAGAATCGCTGCGTGGGCATCAGGGCCCACATTCCAGGGGATGTCGGGGAGCTGGTTCAGGGCCTGCGAGACCTTGACTCGCCCTTCGGGTGTGAGAAGCTCTCTGGCACGAACCCTAAACCTTAAGGGTTTGGCAACAGGGCGTGCCCCTGCAAAGCGCAGAGAGACAGACACAAGCGTGGCGAGGTGGTCCACAACCGGTTGACCGGCGTGGATAGCCGGATCCACCCACGACACCACCTGAGAAGACTGCCAATCCATCGGCAACGCGATGTAATCGAGCCTGGACGCCGCTTGGTTGCGTTTTTGCACATACGTACCACTGGGGCCGGTATGCGCCTCCTGCCATGTGGCAGGAAGCCATAATCCATGACGATGCAGGATATCATGCAGCGCGTCTCCGGACGTGTCCTGCTCGTCGGCACGCCAGGGTCCAATATAGCCTCAGAAGGAATCGAACCGACGGCTGCATTAAAATCCCCCATCAGCACCAGTGGTGCAAGGGCGCCAAACTTCTCCAGGAGGTGACTCGTCTCATTCCACCACGAGTCGAGCAGATGCGGCTCCGCCCCCTTGTGCGGTGCATGCAAAGAGGCAAAGATGAGATCCACAGGCATTGCCACGAACCTGACCAGAAGCCGTCGGGGATCTGCGTGGATGACAGTGAAGGCCGATTTGGAAAAAAGGGCCGGGCTGGTCCGTTCACCTGCACCCTTGGGAGCCTTCAAGGTGCTACTAAACCACAACTCAACGCCGAAGTTACCCCGCACTACACCGGAGCAGAAGCGGTAGTATGGAGCAGTGAAAAGCTGCCCCTGCTCAGTGCGAGCCTCCTGTAGAGCAGCAACCGACACCTCTGCATGCACAAGACTTGCTGCAAGGAGCGCGGGACGGCCTGCAGCAAAGGCAAGCCCAGCGCACTTATCATCAGCAAAGGACTTGCCACAAAGGGACAGTACATTATAAGAGGCCAGCACCAAAGCCATCTCCGCAGGGGCGCCTGCCGGCGTAGCAGCGCCCATGCCATGCCGAGTGAAAGGCTCCAAGCACTGCACAGGCGTGAGGCCCCCATCGGTGGTGGGCTTTTCGTAAGAGCGCATCGAGGGGAGCGAGCCCGGCTCTCTCGCACATTGGATGGCTAGGCCAGCCCAATCAAGTGCCATGCCGCTGCTTTCCCACCATCTCGTTCGGCCAGGAACCTCCCAGCACCAAGCCCCGCAGGGGAACCCTCGGGCGGCAAGCTTGGCCGTAACATCGGCGATTTCGTTGGCTAGGCAGCCAGCATGCCCTGCCACATGAGACAAGGCTGGAGGGGAACGCGTGGCAGCACGAGCAAGGGAGCTAATCCTGCGTAGGCAGCCTGCCGCCCCGACTCCTGACCCTGGCACCAACCCTGCTGCAATCTGCATAGCGGAGATGCAGTCGGCCCTGATCACTGTAGGAACCTGGCGGAAAGTGGTGGCGCAGAGCCATTGTGCCGCCACAAGCGCAAAGCATTCCGCAGTAAACGCAGATTGGACATCCCCTTCAGCCTCGGACCAGAATGGAACCCCACCCGCAACCACGCCGAATCGCCTGTGCGTGGCGTCAAGAAAGACACAGGACCAGCCGACCTGCGCAGGGGCATCGGCTGAACCTTGGATGAAGGATCCATCTGTGAAGCAATGCAGGCCTGGACTAAGCAAGTCCGACGCATCGAGGCGGAGGCCACTAAGCCTTTGCCATGCCGCATCGCCGATGACGGCCTTCACAGCACGCGCATCGGCCAAAGTGCCCGGCGGCGTCAGTAGCTCGAGAAGGTCTGCAGCTGCAAAGGGTAGGCGTAGCCCCCCCAGAAGTAGCGGGCCATTCGGTAGACCGGCCAGTTCCGCAGGAAAGTAGGCGAAGTCGCCAAAACCTTGCCAACCTTGGATATCGGCAAGCCTGATACCTTTAGCTGTCACTGGTGGGGTCCTTAGAAGGGGGCCGACCGTGGTAGGGACAAGGGAAGCAAGATTAAGCTGGCGCCGTCGGTCGGGCGGCCTTCCAGAGACCTCCTGCCCACGAAAATGCTCCACAAGGGTTTCGAGAAGGGTGCGCGCCAAATAGAACGCCCTGCAGGATGGCTGCTCTGCAGATTCCTGAAGTAAGGTGACATGCCCTTCTTGGGCATCACTCCAGAAATCTATAATGTCGATAGGCTCGCTGCCGCCATGACTGGCAAGCAAGCCTTCAGCGCCCTGTTCCTGTCCCGGTCGGCGGGAGCTGCGGCAGGGCGTTGGTATAGGTCGAGTGGCGCTATGCCTGGTTGCCAGGCTGGTACGTCCTATGGAGAAGACAGGTTCGCATTCTAAGGTCCGGGTGCTCTCGCCGCCCAGACAACGGTCCATGACAAGAAGCCACCACAGACCCTTGATTACAAACCCACGGAGGCGGCTGGTGTCAGGCTGTACGCGACCGCGCAGTACAACACTGCAGGCCCGCTCTGTCACAGCACTGCAGTAGGTGCCGCTGCCATGGCAAGAGTCCTGACTCGTGCCTTGCTGCCCCTGCTGGCAAGGCAGGGAACTGGCAGCAACAGTATGGGACGAAGGGTGGCCTGGATGACCGCATGGCGCTCCTCCCTCGTCAGGTTCAACGTCAGAATCTGGGCCCTGCCGTAGAGGCAATGCATGGTCGACAGAAGCAAGACGTGCCCGCATCATTACCTCAACCTGGAGGACCTGACCCGGGCTACAATAGGCATGGCCACTCGAATCCCGGCTTAGGGAGATGACAGCGTGCCAGGGGTGAGGGACAGTCTGGTTCAGTGACGCCTCAAGTCCTTCAACGTGCAACCACCCCTGCGCAGTTGCTACCCAGAGCCATCCTTCCGCGAGGGCACGGCAGTCAACAAGCACAGGGTAGGCACGGCCAGGCGGTCGAACGCTCCCAGCGTCCGATACGGCAATAACCGTTCTGCAGGGCCAGCCAAGCCAGGCGACGTCAAACTGCCTTGGGCAAGCTGGTGCGATGGCCAAGGTGTGGGCGCTAAGCCCCACACATGCAGCTAGATCAGAGCGGTAGTGCGTACTGCGCGCTGGGCTCAGATTGAAAAGGCGCCCCTCATCTGGGGCACAGACCCAGTAGTGACTGTCGTCACCCAGCCATGGGAAAGCGGGCCCCGGCCGCCAGGGCAAGTGGGTCTCAAGCACAGCAGACAAAGAGACACTGTCTCCACGGCATTCGCCACCCAGCGAGAGGCTGAGGCACATCCCGGTGTAAGTTTGGAGCTCCTCGCCATCATGCAGGCGGCGGCGCGGCAAGCCTGTAAAAACCTGGACCTCGGACTGAAGACTTATTCCTGCCAGCAAGCACACCGAGAAAAGGTCGACGCAGGCGGGCGAACGCACGCAAAACACGCGTCCGCCAACATCTCTGGTGTCCAGGCAGATAAAACGCCCCACCGCAGCCTTTGGGATGGCCAGGAACAAAGCCCATCCAATCTCTGGCTGTGGGCTCACTGCAGCAAGCTCAGAGAGGCGGGAGTCGCAGTCTCCAGCCCTGGAAGCCGAGACAGCTTGCACAAAGGCTTGCAGACTACAAGGAACCTTGACCTCGACCTCAACGCGCTCTGGCTGGCAGTTAGGGGCAAGAAGGGCACACGCGATAATGCACGGAACCTCTTCGAGGATGAAGTCTTCGGAGGGTTCCTCCGCACAGACATGAGCGGGCTGGCAACCGTCTACTACGGCTCTTCCTGGCTGGTGAGCAGGGCTTCCGGGGGAGGACCGGCTACGAGCCGATCCTTCCGAATCATCATCAGGGGGATCAGAAAACGGGTGGCCTGGGGAACCCGTGCAGCCTGTGGTGGGCCCAGAAAGGGCGGACTCGCTCTCAGAGCCCTCGGCGGACTCATCTCCTTGCCAAGCCGCAAGAACATAACGCACAACAATATGCAGTCCATCAGTGATTTGCAGAAAGGTGCCCTCTGGCAGTTCGACAGAGACGGCGCCTTGCACCGCAACGAGATATCCATCAGGACATGTGTTGGCATAGCCATCAACAAACTGCTGCAAGTCCAGAAGCCCGTTGTCAACGCACATCCATGTGAGGCATTGCAAGACCGGCCGCTGGTCAATGACAAGCACCTTCTGGCCCTCTGGACCAGCTCTGCGGCGAGGAATGGCTCGAGAGGAGACGAAAACAGCCGCTGACGCCCAACCGCGGTGAAAGGCATCAGTTATAACAGGAAGAGCAGGGACCGTAACAAGTCCTTCAACCTCGCATTCCAAAGCGCCCGCAATGGCTGCCCGGGAGAGTCTGCCGTCCGAGGCGGCATCTACCCGGGCGGACACCTCATCGGAAAGAACCCAGTAAGAAAGGGCGACGTTGAAAGGTAGAGGCTCCCGGTAGTCCCAACCATGCACACTACTCAACATCACCCGGAGGTCATACGTTGCAGGTGGCGGGGACCCAGACTCAGAAAAGGAGATAAGGGCACCTTCGGGCAACACGACCTCCTGAGCATGGTGCAGCGGGACATCCTGGCCTAGCACCCTAACATCGACGTTAGAACCGCCACTCAAACCTGCACCTAAGAGGATAGACTCCCTGTTGGCGCGAAAAGGAATAAGGGCCATGTGCAGGACCCCCGTTACAGCTCGGCAGTCGGCCAACACCGGCAGGGCTGGCAAGGGCCAGTCAGGCACAGCAAGAAGCACAGCATATTGGCACGCGGGTTGCGGCAGCACAGGGATGAGTCGCGGAAAGAAGCCCCTTTGCCGCTGGATTCTGGCCCCCTGCACAGCAGTCAAAACCTCGGCCGGCCTCCCTGGGACTCGAACAGGAATAGAGACAACATCGGGCCGCGTTTCATAGGTGGCTACAAGAAAGAGTCCATGTAGGAACTGCACGGGCACAAGAGCCTCGTCGGCCTGTGGCGCCGGGACCTGCGGAAGCGGGTCATCAACGCGTCCCGGGGTGCGCTGGTCATCTTGGGCTCGAGCCAGCCGCGCAACCGGATCGGCCCCTGCAGCGACCGCAGCCAATGAAACTGATAGGCTGGGAGCGTCGGGCAGGCGGCATGTCAGCCTAAGGCGTTTCGTGAGCTTCTCAGACAGGGCGCACTCAGGCGAGCCAAAACCACTAACATTTACAGAAAGGGGAGCGCCCAGAAAGTGAGGCCACTGGATGCCTTCGACGGCCTTAGGCCTGCCACAAGGCCCCGCTTCCACCAGCACGAAGGGGGCACGTTTGCCTTCACCATTTCGTAGCATCTTATGGGTTGCCCCGTCGCCACTGAATGGGGCAAAGGAGCCGTGGAAGGAGCGGTCGGAGCTCGTTTCAACCTTGCTGCCGTGCCTGCGCGGGGTGCGCGACTGGGTGGATGTGTCGGATCTTCCATCCCCCGCATCCTCGTCATCGGGGTCGTCATCCGGATCGTGCGAGAAATCGGACTCAGACTCAGACATCTCGCCCACATCATCCAACCGGCTCTGAAAGGCCAAAACGAAGACTTCACCGGAATAGAAGTCGAACCCCAGCTGGCGTTTCCTGCCACCCTTGACAACAAGCTTCCAGCCAGCCGGAGGCTGCCCGGAATGCTGCCTCAGCAGCTCGCGGGTGACGTAGCCCTGCTGTTGAGTGAGGAAACCAACATCACCCCCGACTGGCCTGGCATCGAGAAACAGTACAAACGGGAGAGGTTGGCCATCCGCGCCTCGCTCGTGTTGCCGTGGAACCACTGCAATGAGGCCACGAAGAGGAATTCCTCTATGCACGCAGGGGTCAAAGCAGCGGTTATCAGCGGCTTGTAAGCGTACCTCGCTGAGGCGTACCTCAGCAAGGGTAGCAACCCGATTCATAGTTTCCCAGTCATCGGCCCCAACGCCCTCGAGTAAGAAACGGCGGTCATCTCGAAACACAAGGATAGTAGAGGCCCTACGAGTCCGAGGCATACACCCAACTCTGCGCCAGTGCACATCACTCCAAAGGAGAAATGGGAGCGGGGCAGGCCAGGAGGGCACGTGCTGCGGTGGAACCAGCCGAATGACGACCCCGTCCTCAATGAGGATGGACTCCCCCGGCCACAGGCAAGCAGCACTGTCGCCGACAAACATTGCATGCCGCGCTACGGTTGCGCACCCTGCCGCGACGGTAATCTCTTGGTGGGTGGTGTTGCGAGACAGGGCAACAGCAAATGTCGAACCACCAGTAGCACGGGCGTCAATAACCGCGACAGCGAAACCGGCTTCGACAAACCAAGATGGTACCGCTGCAAAGGAGGAAAAACCAAGGCCAAGCTGTGGGTACGTAGGTGTAATTTGGTCCCACACGCAGTCAATGGCCTGAGGCAGGGCAGCTCTGATGAGCGGGTCAAGCTGGCCGACAGTTGTGGGGATTGGGGCCTCGATTACGCAAGCCGAAATGGGGTAACCAGGGCGGCAGACCACGACCGACATCCGGATAACATGGTCAGCCGGCACAGCAAGCACATCACCACCCAGCGGGCCAGGGGGCTCGACCAAGGCTTCTTCGGCGGGCGCATCAAGACATGTGGCATGGCCATTACCATCACTGCCGTTCTCAGCCCGGCGATAACTGCATTCCTCGCCTACACCCTCACCTAGGTCATGGACCGGTGAAACCCAATCAGGAACCCCAGAGCCTACATCCTCAGCCTCATCAAGAGCCTCAGCCTGAACTTCAGCAACCATTTGTCTCCAGGGTGAGGCTGCACTGTTAACATCAGAAGCTGGCATTCCCCCGGCGAGCCGAGGCGGGTCCTCGGGAAGCTGGTCTGGTAGAGCCAGGGCTACCTGAGCACACGCGTCTAACACCTCGGGTAATCCTGGCGGAGCGGCCCAAACAACCGCAGGGCATGATGCAAAGCCAATGACTGCACAGGCCCCAGCACGGGCAAGGGGCATCCATCCAGCGCAAGTGCTGACAGCCTTCCGCCGACGCCGCTTGAAGGGAGGCCAGGCAAGCACGGGGCGCAGAGAGCAGATGTTGGCCAGCGGGCACAGGACCTGCAAGCTGATGCTAGCCGACTGGACGTACAGGAACCGACCCAATGGCGACCTTAACGTCCGAGCGGCAAGCAAAAGAAGCCTCCACAAGGCGAGGCTGACAACAAGCATCAAAGTGATGCAAAAGCACGCTGCGAAATCCCCAGCGGAGACAAAGACCGACAAAACCCACGTTGGGTGACCAGGCCCAGGAAGAGCCCGAGGAGCAACCGGCCAGGATGAAGAAGCGTCAGCACCCCACCCCACAGTTCCTGCCCCAGAGCCACCGATGCAGGTATTAGGCACGTGTAGGGGGGGGGAGCCTGGCACACAAGCAAGGACAGCGAGGCACCAGAGCCGACGCCAACAAAGCAAGGCTCCTTCGACACCAAAAGGATGGGCCGTGAGGTCGGCCCCGGCGCCGCCTGCAAGCAAGACATAGGTACTGCGAAAAAGCGGCGGGGGGGAAAGCAAACCCCTGCGAACCCAGCAGAGGTGACTTCCCCGCGAGGAGACAGCCCGAGCAGGACTCAGACCAACAAACCCAAAGAAGGTAAGTGGCCGGGCCCCTGTCAGGTAAGCGAGGATAGCAGGAGGAGTGCTCGTACGACATGCACTGATGCAAGCCGGGCCAAAGCTAGAACCCAAGCAGGCCGCACACAAAGTGATATGCAGACCTGACCCAAAAGGTGTCCAAGAAGTGACCGGCAATAGGAAAGAATACCCAGCTACCCCACCTACAGTTCCTGCCCCAGAGCCACCGATGCAGGTATTAGGCACGTGTAAGGAAGGGGTGCTGGACGCAAAGGCACAACAGACGCAAGTCCATGGCCGGTAGGCGCAGAGAGGGACACCCTTAGAGCTGAGAAGCTGAACCGCGGGGCTGGCCCTGGCAAAACCAACAGCAGAATACAGCGAGGAACTTGTCCTGCAGCGGAGCGGCGGGGGGGAAAGCAAACCTCTGCAAACCCAACAGAGGTCACTTCCCCGCGAGGAGACAGCCCGAGCAAGACTCACGCCAGCACACACAGAGGTATGTTGCGGAGCCCATGCCGGGAAAGCGAGGATCGACAAAGCAGAGCCCATGGGGCAGACGCCGCGAGCAGCAAAAGGCGCCCCGGCAGCATAAGGCCCGAGAGGCCTGCAAAACTGAGCTATCACAGGAGCTTCGGGAGGATCAGGTCCAGGATTGGGCCTCCAGTCGCCAGAGAAAAACAGAAGGGGTGCAAATCCATTGGCCCAGGAAAGGCAGGGAACAGCCTCCTCACTCTGTACACCCAGCTGTACAGCAACGTTCAGCCTCTCAGGACCTTCCGGAGGAGCACGGCCGCGCTGATCGAGCGTTTCCAGAAGCCATCTGAACCCGGCGCACAGCTGGATGATGGAGTCATCCGAATGCCAAAGCCCCATGCGGCATGGATGACTCACATGATCCGGGTGCCCAGGGCAGGGTCCTCCTGGAAGCGCCCGATAGCGCGCCATGCACCTCACTAGTGAGGTTCGGATCCACCTCCGCCAGGTTCTGGCGGCCTTGCAGAGAGCTCGTCGTCGTCCTCGATGAAGGCCGGCACCGGGCGCTTGCTGGGATCGATGCTTGCAAGCTCGGCCTGAGTAACCGCACCAAAGGGCATAAGAGCCCGAGTCGTTGCCAGACGAGCGGCGAGTGGATCTCCAGCCAGGGCGCTCGCGTGGGCAGCCTTGGGGGCGGCCGCAACCGGCTGGTCCTGCTCCATCTTGCCGGCGTTGTAGGGGCTCACCCTGGCACTGGGAGATATCGACGCAGTTCTGGCTTTCAAAAAAGCACTTCCCGGCGAGGGCAGGTACGGATCGACTGCAGCTGGCCTTGCGTAGGTGTCTTCCGGGCCCCCAAAGCTTGGAGGGGGTGGCTGCGTAGCCGGTATCGTCGTCTCCACATCCGGTGCATCCAAAAGGCCGCCAAAAGGGTCCGGAGGCAGAGCACATGCCCCAGCAGATCCCGCCGCAGCCCGAGGATCCGCCGCTGCAGCTGTCAAAGGCACTCCCAGCCCTGGTGGCGCGCCGAAGCCGGCCCCAGCGGCACTGGCGGCCCGATAAGCAGCCAGGGCCCTTTGCATCACAGAGCCCGCATCGGAGGCATCGGTCTCTCCAAGCCATGCATCCATGATGTCCCCGTACTGCGGCTCGGCCATGTTCGCATCTTGGCGGGTCTCTGCTGGGACACCCCGGAGCAAGGCAGCTCTGGCATCGTCCTGAACGGCCGTCGCCTTCTGCAAGTCCGCCTTCAGCTTCTCGATGTCCCGGAGGTACTTCTGGTGCTCTCTCT